ACGGAACAATAGAGGTAACAGGAAAACTATGGAAACGATGTTTTCTATGCGGTTAGTGCTGGAACCTTAAAAATACCTCCACCGTGAACCTGCGAGTCGTAGGAAGCGACGAAAAGGGAAGTCTCACATCTAAGACAGTAAAATATGGTCTTGAATACCTAGGGACTCGAAGACAGACCCGTCCTCTCGTTAGAGAGGGCGCCCCACAGAAACAAGACCGCAACTATCAAACAGTAATAAATATCTGGTAATGAGCTCCAGATGGCGCTCGACACCAAGACTTACTGACTGGCTGACCGTCAGTCGCAATGTGACTCTGATTTTGACTGGCTCACAATAACTCGTGTGGAGGCGGGGTCGAGTATCTCCACCGTGACCCTGCGAGTCGTAGGAGGCGACCAAAAGGGAAGTCTCAAATCTGAGACGGTAAAATATGGTCGCGAGTCTCAAGGGACGCGGACCCGAGAAAGACTGCGCTGGCAAGGGCTAGCAGCATATACAAAATACAGAGCCGTCCTCTCGTCAGAGAGGGCGCCCCACAAAAACAAGACCGTAACTGTCAAACAGTAATAAAATCTGATCTGGGGCTTGACACCAAGACTTACTGACTGACTGACTGTCAGTCGCAATGTGACTTTGACTTGGCCTTAAATTTGGCGCACACCGGTTCGCGACATGCACCACACCGCTTTCAACTTTCTGTATGTATACGATTATATAACAAAATTGTGCAGGCGACAAGCAGAAGTCACACAAAATCATGATAATGAACATGTTCGCGGTATAGTACAAGGTGAACCCAGACACAGAAAATGTAAGAGGCTTAAACGTTGCGGTGGTCAAGCTTATGACTGTTCAAATGAATAAGATGCCGTTGTAGCATAAGATATGTAAGTTAGGCACGATCTGCTCTGTAAAGCCCATACTGACAGAGGACTTGTGTGTAGTGCAAAAGAAAGAATTTTCAGTAACATGTTATATGTGCGAAATATACACTTGTGGAAAGGCCAAGTGTATTCATAAGAGACAAACCCATCATCTCGTCAGAGAGTATGTTACATAAGGACTATTACCGCAAAGTTCAGTTGGGAAAAAAATCTCTGGTCGTGGGCTCAAGGTGCCCGACACCAAGATGAACTGATTGGCGGTAAAGTAACTCTGACTCTGGCTTTAAATTTCACCCATCTGACAAAGCCAACGCAATTGCTGACTGTTCTTTTGATTGAGCACAGAATGACCCATATGTCACAATGTAGGGCAGCGGATTGAAACCTCAATAGAAGTCACAGTAATTTTAGCACAATAACATTGTAGTGTTTTGTCATGTTGACCTTGACATAACTTTGTTTTCCTGTTTCCTGCTTCATTGGATGGCCTGTTCTGGTGTAGAGATTATAACTCTGCAATAAAATAACTTTTTATTTGTAATTAGGTGTGAATTAAAGAATGCCCAGCATTCCTGTATGTTTTTTTTTTCCTTGACACTACAGCCCCAGTGGGCCTAGGCCTACCTCCATGAATGTCTCTGTTCACTTCGGTTTTTCTAGATCTTACACATTCGGTAGGACTCCTTGGGTGGGTGATCAGCTCGTCGCAAGGCCTCTACCTGTACACAAACACAGAAAAACGCATGCACAAAAACTAAATATCCATGCCCTGAGTAGGATTCGAACCCACGATCCCGGTTTCCAAGCGAGCGAAGACAGTACATGGCTTAGACCGCTCGGCTACTGTGACCACCGTCTGTATGTTTAGCATACTTAAAATTAATTTACCACGGGAATAATTTGTATACAAATTTGGGTGTTTACTACATTTTATCAGCAACTTGCTGTATCCTCCTAAAACTGAAATTTTAGTTGGGTGTAGGATGAGAGTGGTGAATCATCCAAAAAATGTTTTATAATATTAATTTAAAAGAACCCCCTTATTTATGATTCCCATTTCCATAGAAAAATTTATAATCTGGCTTACACTTTGCTATTTCTCTTGCATGCTGTCAGTGAACCTGCTCCATAGAGGCTCCTTACATGCCATGTGCCAAATCTGAGGCATATTTTCCTTTACTTCAGTCATTCGAAAGAATTTGTCCAAGGTTGAAATCCTGTGTAACATTTTGTAACAGAATTATTTTTTATGGTTAGGAGGAGTTAGCTGCAATGCCCAATCCCAAGCCTTGACCAAGAGGACCACCCTTTGTCTACTGTCCACTACTGCTTACTCATTACATTCACAGCTACCCTCCCTCTTCTCAAGAAGATTTCAATCCCAAAATAGGTACAGCCGATATTTTCAGACCTATGGTTGGAAACAAAAGAGTACATGAAATTAGTAATGATAATGAAGTTAGAATAGTAAACTTTGCTGCATTGAAAAGTGTAATTATCAGGAGAGCAATATTCTCACATTGCAGCATTCATAAATTTGCTTGGACGTCTCCTAATGGGAAGCTGCAGTCACGCTGACCACGTTTTGATAGATAGGATTGATTGATTTATTTAACATCCATAACTGTTACATTATGTACAATTGGACAAGTCAGTTTTTTATAAAAAAATATATAAGATTAAAAACATCACATCAAATGACCAATAATATAAAAAACCATAGAAAAATAACATAATAAGTCCTTTAAATATGATAAAACAGTGGATGAGTATAATTAGGCAACAAAAGCTAAACTATAAATTACATGCAATAGCTAAAATAAATTACCCAAGTATCTTTATTCTATTATTGAGCTAATTCTTGTAAAAATATTCTTGAAGGGAATAAAAAGCTTTGCACAACAAGTAATCCTTTAATTGACGCTTAAAAACCTTGAACTCTTGAATACTTCTTATTTGAGAGGGCAAGTTATTATACAGTCTTATTCCCATGTTAATCACACACACCATTCAGGTGTAGGGGAATGGACTGTGATACCACTCATTGTCTGGTGGTTGCAGAAGTTAGGGAGGAACTGGCAGTAAGCAAATGAGCAACACAAAAGCTTGTCTTGGAGAGTTTCAGTCTCAAGAAAGTAGACGAGGCAAAGGTAAAGAACAGCATCACGTTAAAATGTGAAGCAGGTTCACAGCTTTGGAAAACATAGGTGCAGGGAAAAATCTAACGTAAAGGTATCTAATCCCTTGAAAATGAGGCAGTTAAAATATTTTGGAATGACAGCAACAAATCAAAATTTGATTAATGAAGAAATCAAGAGGATATTAAATTTGGGTAATGCTTGCCACCATTCAGTCCAGAACCGTTTGACTTCTCATCTGTCTAAAAACATAAAAATTAGAATGTACAGAAGTATAATTTTCCCTCTAGTTTTGTGTGGGTGTGAAACTTCATCTCTTATATTAAGGGAGGAACATAGAGTGGGGGTGTTTGAGAAGAGGATGCTGAGGAGAATATTTGGACTGAAGAAGGATGAAATAATAGGAAGCTTGCCAAAAGTTGCATAATGAGGAGCTCCATAACTTGCACTCTTTGCTCAATATAGATTGTTTCAAAAGTAGCCTTGCAGCTTTGAGAGGATATATACATTTATTTATGAGTTGTAAAGAAAACCCAGATACACTGAAATGTAGCCAAACACATCAAGTTACAGTTTGATTTGACTTCCACATGTGGCACAACAAAAATCACACGTGTATGAATTTCTTCATGGGTGTGATATAGTTTGTCTGGCATGTCTTCTGCAACTGCAGTTGTAATTCTCACTCATTAATTATCAACATCTGCAGGTAAAGGTGGAAAGTATACATCATCATTAACAGATTCCCATAAGAAAAGTTCAATTGTGTTAAAACAAGTCCAGTATCATGACCATCTCTATTCTGCAATTTAGTTCCACTGCATTCGTCACGCTAGTCAAGCTACATTGTACCTGGGGAGAAATTCGTTATAGGTGAGATATTTGTCATGCTATATCAGGAAGTTGCATTGAACTGTAATACTGATACATCAGACAAAACGTTATGTGTTTGGCTACATTTCTGTGTATGTGGTTTTTGTTTACCATGTATTAATAAATGCATATATCATCTCAAAGTGGTAAAGCTACTTTTGAAACATGGTGTAATTAGAATGAACAAGTCAAGGAGGATGTGAAGATTGGACATGCAGCGCCCATGGGAGAGAAGAGGAACTGCTTACAGGATTTTTATGGGGACACCAGAAGGAAAGAGATTGCTAGGAAGACCTGGATGTAAGTGGAAGGATAATATTGAAATGGACCTTAGAGAAATAGCATGGGGTGGTATGCACTGGATTCATTGGGACCAGTGGTTGGCTCTTGTGAACGTGGCAATGAAACTTAGGATTCCTTAAAACAGGAAATTCTTGGGTAACTGGGCAGCTGTTGACTTCTCAAGGACTCAACTCCATGCAGTTAGTTACTTTGTTTGGGTCAATATTTTATGGAACCAAGTGACTATTTTGACGTCCCCACGTACAAAATCCCACGCTTTATTCGAAGTGCAGGATTGTTAATGGGATAATCAGAAGGGGAGACACAGTAGATCACTGTTGTGCAAGGGCCAAGCAGGCCCACCCCTTATACATTCATTCATTAGTTAGTTGGTTGGTTGGTCCGTCAGTTGTTTCGTTAGTTACAGGTTATGTTTGAAAGCCAGGGTAACCCTGTCAGTATAGCACTGGGCTACAGGCTGGACAGCTGCCAAGGGTAAAATTTTTCTCTTCTGTATAGCATCCAGACTGGCTCTGGGGCCTACCCAGGCTCCTATCCAGTGAGTGCTAGTGGATATTTCTTTGGGGGTGGGGGAGTAGAGCCACCATGGTGTGAAGCTGACCACTGACCTCCATCTAGTGCCAAGGTCAAAAATGGTGGAGCTATGTCTCCACTCCCCCATATGTCTTAATGTCTCAGTGTTTAATTAATTAAGCACAGGGACAACTTAACCTTTTACGTTTACAGGTTATATTTCATTTAAATCATCGCATAACTTACGCAACAAGTTTGTATGTGGTTATGTCTCCATTCTTTACAGGGCATTTACAGGGAAATACTACAAAACAAAAGATGCAGGATTGTATACATGTGTAGTATGTGGAGAGGAGCTGTTCTCATCTGAAACAAAGTTCGACTCTGGCTGCGGTTGGCCAGCCTTTAACGATGTGCTAGACCAGGGCAAGGTAAAGTTAACAAAGGATACATCTCATGGTGAGTTATGTAGTAAGTATGGAAGTTAGTGTGATGATGTGCGGCTAGCTCCATCTAACTGTTCTGTAGTTGGTTGCACTAACATGTCATGCACCAGTAGGATAGTAGCTCCTGCATTGCAGGATTTGTATTCCTGTTGTAAAGTTTCTATGGGTGAGAATTTTAAAAATTTGCATTATAATATTAGAAGAAATTGAGTTATCTGTGGAGTTAATCATTCAAATTCAAGAGGTCCTAGTGTGGATTCTGCTGATAAAGTCACTAATAGCGGAGGAGGGTAACAGTTGGGTGAAGCACTCAATTTTTGGGTTATAGTTAATTTTACATGTAAATCCAATCTCCAGAAGAGTTACTCAAATTATGTGACCAGTTTTGTGACTAAAATGCTTGGGAGGAAGATGACAAATTATGCAAGTAAATAAGAGTGTATGCATGCACGCAGGAGTGTTCGTGGCATGTCTGTACTAAATTAGAACAATTCTTATTGGTCTTTCTAATTAAGAGACATATTTTGAGCAAACATTATGAATATTAATAAGGTGAACCTTCTATGATAACATACCTTTTTTTAGACAATGACCATATTTTAAGAAATCCAGTATTATTAAATACAAGTAACAATGAGATTATAACTTGGCATTAGTCACAAGTTATGCACAAGCCTCGTCCGGATTCAGACTGTGATGTTCTCTTAAACCATAAATTGCTCAATAAGAATGTTTCTTACATTTTATATTTGACATAGATTAGGGAGTAGAGTATGTTGAATAAAACATGTAACATGTGGTGTAACTGAACATATTTAAAAAATAAAAAGTATTTTCAGTTACAAGTAAAACAGAAACTCAGTTGAAATGTGTACATGTTGATTTTGATGATTGTAGAGTACTGGCCGTTAGTTTTTGAAAGTGTTATGTGCAAATTGATATAGATATACTTGACAGTCATTTCTCTTTAAAGTTTTATACTTATTATTTTCTTACATCTCTAATCAAATCACTACATTTGTTTCTTTGTTCAGTATTGCCAGTACTTATGTCACACGTTGAAATTAGTGCTTGAATATTTTCACACTGGGAGCTTTCAGATGATATTGTATTTTAGCATAATTTAATGTTTGAATTGAATTTCTGTTTGTATATTGTATATTGATATTCTGATAATCTGAGTTGCAAGTAAACTAGTCACATCCCTTGGTCTTTTTCCGTATACATATGCTTTATATTAGGCTGTGAACAATTTCTGAAAGTAATTTTGATATACTTCCTATAAAAGCATACATTTTTACTTTGTATTTTGTAGTGTTTTTGAGATAAGTTAGATGTGGCTAGTTAAAAGTACATGCAGTTGTGTCTACTAATTCATCCTAACCATCCTAAACCAAGAGATACCTCATGAAGGAATTATTCAGAATTTTATCTGGCAATAAATAATTCCAGAATAAAACTTCATAATACAAATTATACCTTATAATGATTTAACTCTAGTACCCAACCTTGTGATGCAGAATTACATCTTGCAAGCATTTAAGAGTCACTAACAAATCCAGTAATGCACTCATATGGACTTAAAATCACGTTTATACTATTGTTCATGCTATATTAACACATTTTCTTCTGTTTCAACATGGAAATCACCATTAATTGCCTTGTGGTTGAGTACTGTAAATCGTGAATATCAGCTCCCATCTGTGTATCTAAAGAGTGAACAGCTCAGAAGAACATATTTCATACGCATCATATCCTTAATAGTTTGTGGGGCGGGGGGGCAAGAGGACGTAATATATTCAGTTAAACAACGTTGTGTGCAATCAGTTTGTTATGATCAATAACTGTGAGGGAAGAAATAAAAGTGGACTTGTTAGATTCAGTGTGTTGGCTGCAGCACCAGTGCTGTATGTTATGCTGTCATTATCTTCTCCAATACAAATGATACGCACTGTAATTCATCTTTAGAACTTAATTTTTGTATATGTATATATAGTGACGTATTTGCGCTATGCAGGACACCCCCTCCCCCCGCCAATGGTGACATAACATCTTTGGAGCGTTGTCGCTGCTACGGTAATAGGCCAGTCAACACCCCGTCCCCTCCCACAGTGACGTTACCAATGGATGCCGCGGTTGCTACAGAGCAGTAAACAACTCTCGACAGTGTTGCTAGGCAACCTGTAAACACGGCGTCAGGCAACAGCGGTACCTATCACGTAACTGTTTTCTGTGTTGTCCGTGCCAAGGCTAAATAAGGAAGAGCAAACTCTGTTCAGTTAGTAGTGAGTGAGTATTGAGCCAGTTACGAGTTACGAGCAGTTGAAATATAGCAGCCGCCTAAAACAGTCAAAATGTAGCAGCCACCGAAGACAGTTGGAATATAGCAGCAGTCGCGGAAAGAAGACCCGTACGCGTGATCAGAAGAGTTTATGTGTGATAATCAGTGATAGTTTGTGATAGCTGAGAAGGTATTGGGAATGAGTAATTAAATGACACTTGTATAGCTCCTGCGCTATTAATACGTGAAGACTACTGAGGACAGAGTGAATAGAATAGTGTGCAGGGTTTATGGATTGTGTAAACCCGTAACAGTGTTATATTTAATTGTAGCCAAGACTTTTAGGTTGTTAAATAAACCAGTTAACAATCCGAACGGCGTCTTCAGGGGCAAAACACGTTACAGCATATACACACACACACACACACACACACACTGAAGTGTATATATATCCTTTTTCAAAATATATTTTTGGAACGCACTTTCACTATAGTTTCTTACATTTAGTACCACAAATAGAGACCCTCTGCTCTAGTGTGCTTATGATCTGAGTCAGTTTTCCATTCAGTTTCACATGAAACTGATACCAGTACTGTTGGCCATTGGATATTTCTTATCTTTCTTGTATGAATTTCAGAACCTTCTGGCACCATCTGTGAAAAATATTGCAAACGAAATTAACCACAAGCCTAAAAACTTCAAAAGGCTTGCTGTAGGTGGCAGCAAACGTGTTCAAGAAAATCTATGGCAGTAGAGATACCAATTATGGTAATGCCTATATTCATGAGAGAATCCCAAGGAATACAGGATTTTTTTCTATTCAGACTGGTTTTCATTTATCCCAGATACTTGCCTCTAAATAAGAGATATTTACAGTGTACACATCACTTGTATTAACAACCAAATCATCAGATTTGCATGTACATGTATATTGTAGACAGGGTGTAAATAAAAAATACTACAACACACTGTGGTAGATAGATGGGTTCAATGTGATCATATTTTGTTAACACACTCATGTCCGGAAACACTTCCTTTTGGCACTGAGGGCCGCAATTTTTTCCAAGAGGCTGCATAAGTATTAGGGGATGTTATCATTGTTTTACATTGTAAAAGTTGCTCAGAATGGCTGCTGCCAACTTTGTTGCATGTTCTGCATCTCCTGGCCATGTTATGCTGAACTCTTTGAAAGATTCCTGCATTTCCTGGATGGTTCCAGCTGCTACTGCAATTCTAACCACAAGATCATGTTGTGTCTCCACTGGAGTCTCGTACACCAGGCTTTGCATGTACCCCCAGAGAAAGAAATCCAATGGAGTCAAATCAGGGGAGCGAGTGGGCGAGGTTATTGGGCCTCCACGTCCAATCCATGTTGCCAGAGATTTCATCCAAATACTCACGGATGACATTAGTGCGGTGTGCCAGGGCACCATCATACTGGAACCACATTTCGCGATGGATTTCCAAAGGCACCGCTTCCAGCAGCTCGGGTAAGGTCTCTTGGAGAAATGTTACCAGTAAGCCACAGAGGTAAGAGGTAAGGGTGTCCTCATTTACATTTCAGAGATCCTAGGGCATAAACAAAGCTTTTCCGGACATGGGTGTATTAACAAAATACGATCATGTTGAACCCATCTATCTACCACAGAGCACTGTAACATATTTATTTACACCCTGTATATATACAGTGAATGTGTAAAGCTTTGTTAGTTTGAGATGATAGCTCTGAAATTACATGATTCTGAGTTACTATAACAGTGAATTTTTGTGCATTAACACATTACATGACCTTAAATTATATAGTAGCTTTCATTTTCTTCTCTGCCTTTTTTCTTTGTCTGTTTATTTTTCTGGTATTGAAGTATTCTGTACACCGTTGTAATCTGCTAGTAATGTTCCTTCTGACATAAATTCCAGGAAACAGTATGAAACGAAGTTACATAAAGACAGAACATCAGATATTCAGGCAGACCATTTTCTGTTTTTGTATTAACCAGTCTGTTTATTAGAGGTAGTTTCACATTGACTTTCAGCCGGTATTTTCATGGCTGATATGACTTTTCAGTAAAGGCAGGCTTCCACCTCATCTTGGTTATATTTTAGTCATATTGTATTATGTTTTCATTTTGAGATAAGGGAACAACTGCCCTTTTTGTTCACAATTGGCATCTTAGCAAAAGTGTTATAACTTAACCTTTAATTGTCTCTTTAATGCCCCATTGCTTAAGATCATGCACCATTGACTTTGAATTTTTATTAACTCTGTGGCACACACAGATGTATGAGACGTGACAACATAGTGTCTGTGTGTCTATAGTCAGTGAAAACAACTAGTAAGTTATATAATATAGTAAAATATGTTTCTAAATTGGCATCTCCTTCAGAAGTGGAACAAAAATGATAGAATTTTCTGCAAATTATAGTGGGCAGTTCTGCATTTTTTCGCATTATCATTATCACTAGTAACAGTTAATGTAATTAACAGCATGAAGTAATTAATTTTTAAATACTGGTGATGAGACATGAAACTTACATGCTTTAATAATATCCATGAATTTGGTTACACATATTCATTAGAGGTATCTCTTATTCCAGAAACACTTGTGTTTGCACAAACCTATCCAGCTTCTAGTCTCCATTTATGCAAGCTAAGCTTTGATGATGTTACAAATCAGCATTCGTTTGTTTATAACTTCCTTAATGCGTTCTAATAACTGTTGTATAGAAATGTTGCTACATTGTTCTGTGAATTGCATTTGTATTAAATCAAATACGTGATCTTAACTTTTTAATGACCTTTTTGTGATTAAAATATGAAACATTTGCATTTTTATTATCATTGTAATTTAGGGAGAGGGGTGGTAAATACTACTGAGGTCACTGATAGTATTAAATAACATCTGTGCATTATTTAGTATTCCAGGATTTGTGGGACTGGCACAGACATAAATGTCAGCTTAGAGATAAGAAATTCCACTACCCCTTGCATATACACATATAAACTCACCATTCATAGCATGAAATTTCCACACACTGTGATGAAAACCGTCATTGGTGTCTTAATTCATAAAACAGTTTTATTTACATTATGCAGTAAGGTAAAGTTGACTCTGCGCTTAACCAATTAAGCACTACGCCATGAAGGCGTATGTGGGAGTGGATGTATAGATCCACATTTTCTTGACCTCATCATTAGCTGAAGGTGAGTGGGCAGCTTCATGCCCCGCCGCTTTAGCCCCTTGTACCCGCTGGATTTTATTTACATTATGCATTACATATTTAGATGACTGCCAGTGAATATCACAGCAGGAAGAAAAGAGCAGCAGAAATAATTTTCTTTTAACAAAAATAAAAAAAGCCAAGGGCTGTGAAGTGTGTTGACCGTAGAAGATTTGATCTTTTCATTTTAAGCACAGAATGTAGATATTTTTGATACCAACTAACTCCATGGAGCAGAGTCCTTCTTTAGAAGCTAGAAGCCAAATGAATTCACCCCCCCCCCCAATTTTTTTTAGGATCTCATTTAGTGTTATCATCCCATATTCCCATCAAAACTTTGTCTGCACTTCTCTCCTGTGTTATGCTAATGACATCCCCTGCCCATCACATCCCTCTTCATTTGAACATTCCTGCAACATCTGGGGATGCTTACAAGTTGTGAAGTCCTCATTCTGCACTTCTCTTGAGCCTCCTATTGCTTGCCCCACTTAGGTCCAAATATTCACCTCAACACCTGCAGTTTGTGTTTACAATTTACTTCAAAATCACTTGCTATCTTCTCACTTGCTATTTAAAACTGCAAAGTTTAAAATTCGCAGAACTATAATTTTTCTTATACTTTGTATGTGTAAAAAACTTGTTGGGGCATGATATTTTTGACAGTGGTGAGATTTTTAATCAGAAAATAAAAATTTCTGAAAGGACATTGAATAGCTATTATAATTCATAAGTTTTAATCTTTCTGACAAAAATAAACTTAAGTTAGAAAACTTTATCATTATTTTAACTGTTTTATTCTCAACATCCTCTCCCCCATACACCTTCATGGCATAGTGCTTAATTAATTAAGCACAGGGACAGCTTTACCATTTACCTTTTATTCTCAGAGTTTAGTAACATTAAAAAGGTATTGATATGCTGTTGCAGCCATAAAAGATCTGAGTTTCAAACTGAGAAGTATGAAACATTACAAGTCAGTCTGTTAATAGTGTTACGTAAATTTAAATCCCTCTTTCTTCCCAGTATTTGTACTCTTAAAACAGTTTAGTCATAGAGGTTACATGGACTGTGTCTGTACTCCTTGTTACATGCAAGTCCAATTTAATTTTAGTGCCATCATATACACTCTTCCAAGTAAGAGCACTTGCTTTAATATAAATTGCTTGCCTTCTGATCAAAAGAGTCAAGGAGCAGAGTATGGTATGAGTGGTGGAGAAAGAATGCAAGGGGAGAAGGGAAAATAAGGTGTTCATATCTGCAACCTCTTCTACACATCTACTACTGTTACTCTTTGAGGGGATAAGGAAATTTTCTGTACATTATTTCCTTATATTCCATAAATGGAGTTTCACCCTCTGCAACTTTCTTTTGAAATACAATTATCACATAAATCAAGGAATACCTGCACCACAGCTCACAGACAGCTGTTGCTTGCAGTATCGAAGCTTACCTAGTTGTTGTCATATTCGTTTCAGTTCTTTGTTTACATGGTTGCTCAAGGGCAAAAGACCCGTTACGAAGTAAGCAGAGTAAGAAGGCCAACAAAACAAAGACATGCACACAAACAAAAGAATTAAGAAAAATCAGTTGTGTTATTTATGCAGTATCCATTCAGTTAGTGCTTTCACACCAACCATGTCTCATGAGGAGACACAAGGAAATGTGAACATTGAATTATTGTGACCTTTCTAAGTGTTAATAAGTTTCATTACATGTGTAAGAACTTTGAACTAATATCAGAAGCCACAGAGTGAAAATAGTGATTCTTACAGGAGAATGGTTCCATAACTTACGAATCTCTGATTAATTCTGGTGTCTAACCTTTTATGGTCAATGTAAAATTATGTCTCAAGTGCCCTCACCCAAGTATTTATACTAGAGAAAGTTTACATCTTACAAAAGGTACTGTTATCATTTCCTAATGAGCTGTTTTCATGAGGACATTTTGCACCATATTAGGTTATTAATGTGGAATGTTGTCAGATATTTGTCTCCACCACCAATGTGAGATTTATATTAGAATCACTGGTAAACTGGTGTTTGTGATGGACAATACATGTGTGTAATCATAATACCGGTAGATGAAAGATGCTTGTATTGTAATTCTCATTATTTATATGCATATGAGTTTGTGGCTTGGGACTGAAGGATTGCAGTAAGTTACACTACTTCAGGTTGTGGCATAAGAGCATACAGTGGATTAAATAGTAAATATTAGAGTGACCAAATCAGGGATATTGAGACGGACAGGACCCAACACACATGGAGGAGAAAAAGAAGCATGCACAATTTTTATTGGAAAATGTGAAAAGACGAAACTGTCTGGGAGACATAGATGTATGCTGGAGAATATCGTTATAATACATACATATATTTCACATTTCACAAGTCCAAAATACAATGAACATGAAATTGGTCACAAGCATAACACAAACAAACAAAGCAGAAAGACAATATCAAGCTAAACAAACGCTGTAACTAAGTATTTACTGTATGCTCCAAAAATTTATCAGCTGTATAAAATGAGTTATTCATGAGATATGAAAATAAATTATTTTTAAAACTGATTCTATCCTTTCTAAGACTTTGAAGTTGGAATATGAATTTGATAATTGCTTCTAGTGTTCAGGCCATGAATTTCTGAACCTGAACAGAAATTATTTTGGTTATCTATCAGAAACAACATCAAAGAAAAAATATATTCACATGACAATGGTAGAATATCCAATTTCTTAAAAAGACTAATACACGAGTCTCTGGGTCCCACTCCCAATATCCAACATAAACTTCCTGTTGTTATGCTGTGTGTCTGTTTTTGCAGCATACAGCATAACACAACTGGAAGAACAACCATCACTTTGAATGCACATGTGCATAGATGGGACTGTATATTATAACCAAAGCCACAATAACAGTAGCACAGCAATTTCAATTATAACTTTAAATGCCCGATGATGACCATATTGATTGAAACATATAGTGAAAAGCTTTCAAATAGTTAGAAGTTATGTGATGTGTAAAACTTTTAAAGTGAATAATTTTTAGTAAGTTCTATAGAAAGACGTGTTGGACGTGAGACGGTAGAACCAACAACATTTGATACAAATATATTAGTCACATTTTTTTATTGCTAGTGGGATGGGACTAAGTCCCTTGTACTGCGGCCACTTCTGGCCTATTGTACCAGCCCCAGATGATAGGTGAGGGTGATTGTGGAGCAATTGGTGGAATGAAGATTGGCAGGGGAAACCGAAGTACTCGGAGAAATCCTGCCCCAGCGCCACTTTGTTCACTACAAATCCCATTTGACCAGACCCGGGATCGAACCCGGACCACCGCGGTGGGAAGCCAGCGACTAACCGCTTGAGCTATGGCGTGGCCTTCTTAGTCACGTTAATCTGGATTAGGAAATAAAAGTGAAATATTCTAATGAATATATTATCAGTGACCATTGTTGACATTTCCACCCCTTGTCCAACATCGCTTGTCTTGCTTGCTGGATTGGTGATTGGTTCATACTTCTTGTTCTTTCTCTCTCTCTTGCAATCCGTTCATCTTTCCTTCCTCACATTAACCCATTCCTTCCATGACTCAACTCTTGTCATCAACTCAAAAATACCTTAATAAACAACACATCAGTTGGAGGCAACCTTCTTTTATTAATCGCGAACCCAGGAATGGTCCGGACGGAGGTGACTTGCGCACAGTGTGGTGCACATCTGGGACATGTATTCAATGATGGTCCAAAACCTAAAGGAACAAGATTCTGCATCAACAGTGCATCCATGAACTTTCATCCAGCAGATGGAAGTTCAGTTGCAGAAGGAGACATGACCATGAATGGTCAATAAGAAATGGTGATTTAGTAGCAGCAATTATTTTTGCATTGTTAATTGTACTGAATTGAATATTTTTAGTCTTTGGCTAGTATTAAATTGGGTTGTTGATATATTGTTTAATGTTGATTCTGTTCATTAAAAACCATGCAGTAAAAAATTAATGCCTAGAATAGACATCATTTAATTAAGAATACTGAAATCTGGATGGGTTGTGGCTCCTAGAAGGCTAGTTGATTTATTTTTCAAAGCAAGAAATCAAGGTTCTGACATTGTTGGCTGCAAAGAGTACTCTACTATGTCATGTGGTGCCATGCAGTGTGGTAGGAGTTTACCCATGATTCGGAGGAACCTGCTGCCTCCATCTTTGTTGCTTGGCTGCTCTTTATCCCTGAACATGTAAGCAATATGTTCCTCAGAAATGTCAGTATGCTTCTAACAGACTACAGAATGTCATATCCCAGAACATAGGGCTGCATATAAGAAATATAGTTCACAATACAAATATTATGTTTCTGGACATTGTCCATCATCTTATTTTTATTTTAAAACACCGTTCTGTTTATATTTAAAAACACAACGTTTCAGAGACTGGATTCTGTCACCATCTTCAGGTAAAACCTACTCAGTTGAGCGCAATCAATAGAGCTAGCCTGTCTCCGGTCTGGAGACTAGGTCTAATCTTTGAAACGTTGTTCTTTTAAATATAAACAGGATGGTGGATAATGTCCAGAAACTTAATATTTGTACTAATGTACCATCGTCACAAAATTTTAGATCTTACTTATAGTTCGCAGCATGAATAATGTAACAGTGAGGGATTGCATGTTATTGCAGAAGCTTCACTGATTAGTTAGTTGATAGCATGTCTGAAATTCTGTTCAACTTTCTATTACTTTCTCACATATGTGGTACTAGAAAGTACGTACAAGTATTATGGCTGAAAGAAACCAATCTTCCATATGAAGAAGTTGGTTTTTGGAATGTGTCTGTATATGTCTGTGCTCCTTACTAGCATCTGAATGATTGAACAGATTCTATTAAAATTTGATATTTATAAAGGTTTATTTATCTTAGGTCAGCGCCTGGTGAATACAAACATTCTAGTTGCACCAAAACGCAAAATTTCAGTTTTTTTTAGACAACAGCTCTTACAGTTTTAATTAAATTATAGTACTTTGAGGAGACCACCTTGTTAAATAAAAATGCAAAATTTTTATCATCAGGAAAATGGTGGTTCTCCAACCTGTAGTCCAACAGAAATCATCAAAACACCATGATAAGTTTTGATTAAATTTTAATCATCTTTAGGGGCACATATTTGTTTTAGGATAATGGGTAGCTGTGATCCATCAAGCATATATGAGAAAATATGTGCAGTGCCTTTGCACTTTCTTTATTGTGCCATACTTTGCCCTTGCTGTACACCTCAGTTACCTGCAGTGAGTAAAGAAATCAGTTTGATCAACCTCCCATCTCATAAATAATAATTTGCGAGTTTACCTCACATTTTATGTCAGTTCAGGTTCCAGCTGCAGTATGCATTCATTAAAATATTGTTTAAAATGTTATTTATTTAAATTTGCCAAGTGTATTACTGTTGACAGTGTCAATGCCTAATAATGTTATCCACCACAGGCAAAGATGTGGCTTTCATGTAAAATTACATATCGAGTGAATTTGGTTCAGGCATCATGTGGAACTGAGGTGAGCATTTTGTCCATACATGTAATAGTACTAATTCTAATGGCCTGGATGCAAAGATTGTAGAGTATAAGCATAGGCAGGTGAATATTGTTTATTATTGAATCCCTAGTCACATATAAAAAGAGGATTATTTCGTTTTTTCTTCTCCTTCGAAGAATTGACACACACACTCAATAGGGCTAAAATTCTTGTATGTGTGTTGCTATAAATAGCTGCCTTGTGTATTTTTTATGGTACATTACTATTTATTTGTATCTTGTATATTCATATTTATGTATATGAAAAATCAGATAAATGCTGTTTTCCATGTTTTTAAATATGAATTTGAATTTTATGCATTAGTTCTTTGAAATCTGTGTATATATCAGTTGAGTGTACTTATTGCAGGAGCTGTAATAAAGCCATTAACCAGCCAGTCAGTAATACATGTATTTTTCATAAATTTCCATTGATTTTGAGGCAGGAGCTCATTGGGGTATTAATTAGAACTGCCCTTTAATGAAGGAAAAATGTAGTACAAGAAAATATGGTATGCATATTTCTGAAAAACTTGCATTTTGTGTTTTATTCTTCCTGTAAGTTATGCTTAACTTAGACCTACTTTACTTTCTTATGGAAAGAAAGTAGGGTTATGAGATACGTATTCTGTCTGTCTGTGTCTGTTAAACCAGTTGACCAGTTTTCACTAAACTTCATTTGAACTTGGCCATACCACCGGAGGCCATTCCCAGTCTCCTCTTTTCTTAATTTCCTAAAATCAGTAAAGCAGTGTGGCAGACAATGAACTCACAAGGTGGGCACAACACTAGCACCATTTAATTTAGGGTCAGATGTTTCACGTGAATACTAATCATTTTTATTGAGGGAATTATTCTATTAGGCTAACAGAAAATTAGTTAAATTTGTCCAGTGTCACCAGATAAGAAATCAATCTGTACAGCAATGTACTGAACATCATGGTCCAGTAATTAACACTCTGGTTTTATTAAGGTGATCTGTGTTCCATTTCCAGTCTCCTATCCTAATTGAGGTGTTTTGTTGGTTTTTATCAGCCCCCTCCGGGTAAATACTGGGATAGTTCCTCAAATTTAGCCATGGTCATTTCCTTGCATGCTTTTGCAAATTCAGTTTTCACTAATTATCCCATAATTTCAACATTGAGAAATGTCATTAAATAAACCACAAATTAATCTTATTGCTGGTTGAGAAAACCAGTGTTAAACAGACAACTACTGATTAATCTGTATCTTAATTGCTTTCTGCCAGTTCACATACATACCATTTTATTTGGTGTTGTGTTACATATATTCCACTGCCTAGTTTTGTTTCCTGTTAGGAACTTGAGCTTCTTTGTACAGAAATCTCATTGTTGAAGTCATTGTGATTACTTATCTTTCTGTTATATACAAATCTGACGTCCTCGATGATAATTCTAAATTATGGCTATTCAGTATAGGTAAAGACAGTGTCTCTTGAATTCTAGTACCAGGTAAAGGTGTTAATTTTTATATTGTAATTATATCTGTATGTGCTAGTAAAACCAGTAATTATATTAGTGGATTATTTGTACTGTACAGCGTGAGACAGAAGACTGGTCACTTGTATAAATATATTTTAGTGACATTTCAGAATTGAAAGGGAGATATGAAACTGTGTGTAAAGTAAATGCACCAGGTATGTGCTTTCTTTGCTGAAAAAGGAAGATACATTGTGTTGATGTTTTCAGTCTTGTTCTAGTGGATGATTTTGTTAGTAATTTGTACAGTGTGTCACATCAAGAATAACTGAAGGAAATGTATTTTGCATCCAGATCATGGTTGAGAGATTATTTTCGTATTTCATGGCCCTTTTCATTTTGTAAATAAGGTTAGAATAGACCGTAGACTTAAATGCGTGAATGATGTTAAACTTTTTCTGAAACGTCTTTCAACGTTGACTAGGTATTCTTACAGAAAAATGTTCTTTGTATTGAAGCATATTTGATATGGCAATTCTGATTTACACCATATGTTGAAAATAGAATT